ATGTGTGTTTGTGTGTGTGTATGTGTGTGTACGTACATATGTATCATATGAGAAACTGTAATCTTAGAACCCCATATGCCTTTTACTTAATCTTTTGATTGCTTAGTCATAAATGAGGTGACTTGTCTCTTATTGATTTAAAAAGTCAGAAAGTCGCAGATTTTCACACAAAGAATGGCAGACAATAGAAATCACAGAATATAACTCACACTCTAAATAAAATCACATCTAAAGAAATCTGTAGAGGAAATATTACAATACACAGACACTATTCAAAATAACGGAAAAAAGGATGAAAAATAGATCTCGGGAAAGTGAATTATTTAAAAACAAAAATGGATCCGTCTCAGATGTAGTTTGATTCTCTGTTTATTCATTTGTCATTCCCTTGTCTGGAAGTGTGAGAATTGATACTTCTAATCACGATTTATTGCCAAAAAAAAGGTGCCCGGGAGAAATGATAGCGCCCCCCCCCCCCATTTCTCTGCGCTCATTATTTTCACCGCATTAATTCCGCAAAAGTTTCTCCAAAGTGCAAGGTTCAGGGATAATATAATTTCACAGGTCAAAAACCCAATTAGTTCTTAAGCGCATTGATTGCAGGTAAGTCTGATTTATTTTCGGTTTTATTTGAAGGTGGCGGCTTCAGTAATTTCTATGGACAGTTGATACATTTAGGGGGGAAATTATGTATTAAAAGACGGAAAGAAAGCACTAGGGTTTTAGTAACGAATGAGAATCAGACAATTTTCCTGATTGGATATATCTGTGGTCGCTTAATTGCTGGATAAATCAGGCCGTTATAATCACCGTTTTGCAGACAAAAATAATACCAGTTCCAAACGGAAAAGAATTGTGAATAAAGTAGAAATACAATAAAACGTACGTACGAAAAAGGTTAAATTACTAGAAAAGGTAATAAAATAGAGATACTGAGAACTCTATCTTGCGAGCTATAAAAGATCTCTTTCTTCTCATCATATTTCCGACACATTTTGCAACATCAAAGTGTATGAAAATGTCCGTTTTCTTTAATGCCACTGCAGGCAACCTCAAAAACAAATGCAAGAAATCTAAAAAGGGATAAGAGAAAGAAAGAATATTGAGAGAACGATAAGAACAAGAAGAATAAAATAATAAAAAAAACGATAAGACTGGAAAATTTTTGACCCAGGAGACGCCAATAAAGCGCGAGAATGGATCAGCTGATGCCTCTTCCTTTCGCTTTTCATTATCTGAAAAATGCCTCATTTTCGTCTCTTACGGTCGTTTGCTTGAAATTGGAATACATTCTTTGAAGCACAAAATCCTCTACTAAGGAATATTACCCACAAAACTGTATACCAAAATAACCTAACCTAACCTAACAAGATGATAAAAACATTGTATTTTTGAAAATGACAGTCCTAAAATTACGTTGACTTCCTACAATCCTGAACCAAGCTATATATTTATATATATGATATATGATTATTACATATATTATATATATATTAATATATATATATATATATGTATATATATATATATGTGTGTGTGTTGTGTGTGTGTGTTGTGTGTGTGTGTGTGTGTGTGGTGTGTGTGTGTGTGTGTGTGTGTGTGTGTGTGTGTGTGTAAATGTATATATAGGTGTATATGTATGTTCATACATGTTAAAATGTATGTGTTTGTGTATGTGTGTGTGTGTGTGTGTATGTATACATGTATGTATAGGTGTATATGTATGTTCATATGTTTAAATGTATATGTGTATGTATGTGTATGTGTGTGTGTGTACATGTGCATGTAAATACACATACATTTATATAGCATATAAACGAACACACAGACCCAAACCAAATCGCACTCTCCAAAACCGTATTTAAAATCCCCCCTCCCCTAACCCCCACACCCCCACCCTCCACCCCCCCCCCGCCTCCGCCCGCGAATCGCCCGACGAGTCTTAAAGCAATTTTTCCTTATCTGGCAACAGGCTTTGTCTGGTCGGAGGAGTGAGGAAGTCTGAGCAGCAGATGGCCATGCATTGATCATGGGATGAGAGAATGAGGAAGAGGCGTAGGCGAGACGGGGGGAAGGGAGGAGGGAGGAAGAGGGAGAAGGAGGGAGGGAAGGTGGGTGAGAGGGAGGGAGGGAGGGAAGGTGGGTGAGAGGGAGGGAGGGAGGGAAGGAGAGAAAGAGGGAGGAGGAAGGGAAGGAGAGGAGGGAGGGAAGGAGGGAAGGAGATAGGAAGGAGAGAAGAGGGAGGAAGGGAGGGAAGGTGGGTGAGAGGAGGGAGGGAGGGAAGGGGAAGGGAGGAGGAAGAGGAAAGAGGGGGGAGGAAGGTGGAGAGGGAAAAGGGGAGAGGGAGAGAAAGAATAAAAGAGAGAGGAAGGGAAGGAAAGAGAGAGAGAGATTTGGTGAGAGGGAAACAAGGATGGAGGAGGAGAGAGGAAGGGAAGGATAGATGGAGGAAGGTAGGGAAGGAGGAGAGAGGAGAAATGAAGAGAGGAAGAGAGAGGGGGAGTGAGAAGAGAGAAAGCGAGGATAAGACAGAGAAAGAGGAATTAGAAGAAAGAGGTGACAGAGGAAGGGAAGGAGGAGAGAAAGAGGAAGGAAGAAAGAGAGTGAGAAAGGGAAAGGGGGAGAAAAGGAGGGAGAAATGAGGAAAGAGATGAAACAAAAGAGAATGACTAGAAGGACAGAGAGAGAAAAAAAAGTTCACAAAAGTGCAGACTGACCGGGTGTTGACATTAAGACAAATTAAAGATTAACCATGCATTTAAAAATCATTATCATCACACCTGTATACCTAAAGAATAAACTTCACTTAAAGTTACTTAATTAAAGACAAGTATTCTCGCTCTACAAAATAAACATCTATTACTTGAACCAACATCGTTATCTTGGCCATATATTCGGGGAAAATATATTACCTACACCACTGGAACGAAAAAAATAATTCCGTTTTACCCTGGCAGCAAAACCTTGCCGTGAGTAAGGCAAATGCGCCCGGTGACCTGGCGACGGAAATGAGTGCCAATCCCGGTGAGAGAGACACATGGAATTAATCTGGGATTTTTATACTGAGCGCCGCCAAACCATCTTGTACCTGGATTGCGTGCAGTATCGAAATGTCAGTTGGTAATTCCAGAGCGAGGAATGTCAGGTTGGGATCACTTGAGATCGCGCAGTCGGTGTGGGTCTGTGGGAGTGTGTGTGTGTTTTGGGGAGATTGAGTGCGTTTGTGTGTCTGTGTGTTGTGTGTCTGTGGAGTGTGTGTTGGGAGTTTTGTGTGTTTATGTGTCTGTGGGAGTGTTGTGTGCTTTGGGGAGATTGAGTGGTTTGTGTGTCTGTGGAAGTCTGTGGGTGTGCGTGTGTTTGTGTGTCTGTGGGAGTGGGTGTGTGTCTGTGGAGTTGTGTGTCTGTGGAGTATGTGTGTGTTTGTGTGTCTGTGGGAGTGTGTGTATGTGCGTCTGTGTTTGTGTGTCTGTGGGTGTGTGTGTGTGTCTGTGTGGTGGGGTGTGTGTGTGTTTGTGTGTGGTGGGAGTTTGTGTGTCTGTGGGAGTATGTGTGTGTTTGTGTCTGTGGAGTTGTGATGTATGTGCGTCTGGTGTCTGTGGGAGTAGTGTGTGTTTGTGTTTGTGGGAGTGTGTGTATGTGTCTGTGTTTGTGTGTCTGAGGGAGTATGTGTGTGTTTGTGCGTCTGTGGTAGTGTGTTCGTGTGTCTGTGAGAGAGTCTGTGTCTCTATATCTGTGTCTATGTTTGTATGTGAGGATCTGTGTAGGTATGTGTACGTGTCTAAGTTTACGTGCGTGTGTCGGAAATAAATCAGAGCGATACCTCTCTGCTGAAATCTTAATCATTTAGAATCCCCCAAATCGCCCGGCGCACAGATCGACCCACACCTCACCTGGACAAAGTAACATCGGACGAGAAAACACAGGTGGACTAGGCATCCAGCGGCGGTAATTATGGAAGCAAATGGACAAGGGAAGTTACCAACAATAGCCGGGCCGTTTTTCTACTCTCTTATTAGCTCTCGACTTTGATGGCTCTTAGAGGGGAGGAGAGGAGCGAAGAAGAAGGAAAAAAAATGGAAAATTGCTTTAAAAGCGGGGAGAATGTAATGCAGATGGGACGTGGGAAAACGGGCGGAGGAATATGCACCTTATCGCCACTTCTAACGAGTCAATTTCAGACCAG